AATTGTTTTAGCTAAGGCTCTACAAAGTTGGTGTATTAAGAGCTCTCTGCCATAAAAGAATAAAGTTTAAAAATTTGTTTTTCTACTTTAAATATATTCCCCCAAAGACTCTTGACAACCTTAACTAAAAACAAGAAAGAAAGAAAATGTAGAATATACTTTTTTACGTTTGTGATTAATCTTGAATGAATATTTGATTCTCTTCATTTAGAAGTGATTAGAGCCCCCACAAAACTGCTATATGGCCATATTACATATAAAGATTATTAATAGATATTAAAGTTATCTAATATTACAACATAACATAGAGTTAGTGTAAACTGTGAAGATTACATAGTTCCCTACTTCAGGAGTTTTAAGGTCTACTTTCTCTCTTTTGTTTTTCATTTTAGATCTTTGCCATAGGGCGCATGCGCTGGAGGGAGGGATGGGGGTACTAAATCACCCCCCAAGGGGCGTGGCCACACCACAATCCCTTCTTTATTCTTCTCCTGGGCTATTGGGCATGCACACAGAGACACCTGGTGTGATTTTCAAGCCACCGGGTCCAGGACTTGAACCGCAGTTGGATCCAGCACCTTAAGCACCTTGCCATCCTCTGGTCCAAAGGCTGCTCTCCTAAACAGGAACAAGAGTTAAATATATGTAAAGATAAAACCCCAGTCAAATGGGGAAGGAATATTTTTCCTATTTCATTTGAATGCCCATATTGTAAATTAAATAGACAAGAAGAGTGAGAGAAGGAAGAGAAACGTTTATCGAGCTCATGGCTATGTGCTGGGCACTCTTGGCGCATTTATGTCCAACATGATTTTGATTCTCAGTAATCCCTCAAGGCAGCTGTTACGATCCATTTTCTTAGGTGGGAAAACAGGCTGAGAGCACATCCCTGGTTAAGTGGTTAGTAAGTGACAAAGAATTAAAACCCAGCCTAAGTTCAGAACTCTGGAGCTAGACATTTTATTTTGAAAAGTCTGTGTCTTTTTAGCAAGCTCTACAAGTCTAATGTTCAGTGCGAGAAAAACAACAAAACAAAACAAAACCCCACTACTTTGCATAGCTACTACATCATTTTTTTAAATGTATTACTTCAATCCAGCAGGCTTTGAATTTTTTAGCCAGTAGAAGCAATAGCAGGACAATATCAAAAGTATGGAAAGTAAGAAAATTATTTCTGTTTGGCTTTGAAATGCTTTTCGGTACTTATATTTGAACTGGAATGTCACCTTTCTTAGAATGCACAGTATTCCAAATTAAGGAAAAGTACACTCAGCGTCTACCCTGGAAGAATCTGGAAATCTGCCTAGTCCACCCTCACACATCTTTTCTCTGGCTTTTTTTGTGATGAAATTGAATAGCATCATTTCTCAAACAGACTTGAAGAGGGCTGTTCTCTTTGCCCGTAATGTACCTCAGGCTCCTGCTTTAGCTGTGGGTTGTAACCAAATACCCGTCTTTAGAAGGCCTCCCTTGGCCGCTAAGCCAGGCGAGAGCGGAAGAGTCTCCATTACTGAGTTTGAAGGTGACACAGGTAGTGCTCCCTTAGCCCTTGGGGTTCATTTCTTCTCCGAAGGACCGTAGAGACCACATTTAACTCACAAGGTAAAAACAGCAGTAGAGAGCTAAAAGCGTAAGTTCACCCCCTCCGCTATCAGGCCAGGCTCCTCACCACACTTGCCAGACTCACTGCCCTTCTGTTTTCTGGGAGCCCTCACCACCTCTAATTCAAGTCCCCACCTGCAGACCCCGTCAAGTCCTGTGCCTTCTAGTGAAACTTTCCTACAGCACACAGTGCCCAGCCAGAGCTTGGTCGTCTGCATTATTACAAAGCATACAATGGGAACCAGCAGTTAGCGTAATGGCTATGTCGCTGGACTCCCACATAGTCGACCGCGGTTCACGTCCTGGACCCGGTGGCTTAAAACTCACGCCGGGCGCGTGTGCGTACATGCCCAAGATCCCGAGAGGAGAATGGAGGAGAAGGGATTGCGGTGTGACCATCCCCCCTGGGGGGTGATTTCTCACTTTCTGTCTCTATGTCTCTCTCTGTCTGTGTGGCGAGCGCACGTGCCCTATAGCAAAAAAAAAAAAAAGCATACAAGTTAGGCATTTATCCTGGAAACCTCGACTTCATTGATAGTAAAACCATGCTGAAGCAAAACTGTTTAAATCTGTTATCTGGAAGCATCACCTGTTCGGCAAAATTCTCTCAATTCAGTTGTCAATTTTAAGGCCTTAGCGCAGCACACTCCATTAATCGAAGAATCTAAACATCTGTAATTTGTAAAGGATTTCATTCTCTAATATAAACTTGGGATTATTCTTTTTATTTTAGCAAGATCCGTATATAGCATCTATGGAACACCATACCGACTGGGTAAATGACATTGTACTCTGCTGTAATGGAAAAACATGTAAGTATTTTATATTTTTGTATAAGCTTTTTTTTATTTAAAAATAACATACATACAGAAAATTGAGATATACCTTCAGATAACAGTAAAATAAAAATTTTTAAGATGAACATCCAAATCAAGAAGTAATGCTATCTTGGGTCACCCTTTAGTCATGATTCTTGTCCCCAGGTGAACTGTTCTCCTGTCATCTGAGTACCATGGGTTAGTTTTGCCTGCATTTGAACTACATATAGTTTTTATGTATTATTCTTTTAATTGTATTAAGACCTCTTTTCTTATGTTGGTATGGTTTATTTCTTGGTTTTTCCATCTGAGTTAGAGAAATTTTTCTCAAATTGTGTGAGCTTTCAACTGGAATGTCTAAAAAGTTTGCCTCCTCTATTTAAAAAAAAAAAATTGAGGCAATATACATGGTCTAGAAAGCTTTTGTTTTTATTATTATTCTAATACCAGAGGTGCATGTACACGAACATGAGCGAGAGAAAAAAGAGTGCTCACACGTGTGTGCAAGTAACCCTTGAAGGCAGCGGGGCCCAGACACGCCACAGTCCTTCGCCCTTCCTCCTGTCAGTATCCTGGGCACCTGCACACTCCCCCAACGTGTTTCTGGGTTTTTTTAATTTAGTTTTTAAGAATTACTTTATTTATTATTATTGTTATTGTTATTATTAATTTGCTAGAGGGCACATGTGTTCACCAGAGAGAGACAGAGAAAGTGAGAAAGCAAGCTGCCAGGTCTGAGACTTGAACTGCTGTCGGCTATATGGGAGTCCAGTACCTTAACCACCATGCCACTGGCTGGCCCCAGGCGTACTTATCCTAATCTTGAATTACTCAGCATGTTTTTCAAGCCACTGTGGACATGATTCAAATCCCAGTTGGCCAAGTGGGATCTGTCTTCCTAAACATAGAACTTTATTGTTGCTTTATGGAAAGATCATTTTAGGGTGTGTGTGTGTGTGTGTATGTGTGAGAGAGAGAGAGAGAGATAGACACTATTAGTTTGAAATAGTTTTACATTGTTTTAAGGTGAAGTTTTTAAATTGTTGTGAGTCCTACTACTGAGGGGTTTATTCCTTGCCTCTTCTAGTAATATCTGCTTCTTCAGACACGACAGTGAAAGTATGGAACGCACATAAGGGATTTTGCATGTCAACATTGAGGACACATAAGGTAAAGAAACAGTTTTCAGTAACTTTCGTGGAGTATTAGGATCTCAGTACCGTGTGGGCCATTGTCTTACTGACCTGTGAAGTGCATCACGGCATCTCTGTTCTGTTTCAGGATTACGTAAAGGCCTTAGCATACGCCAAGGATAAAGAATTGGTAGCATCGGCTGGGTTGGACAGACAAATATTCCTCTGGGATGTGAATACTCTAACAGCCTTGACTGCCTCAAATAACACTGTCACAAGTAAGGCGTTTGAAAAAACTTTCTTTGAAAGTGGTCCTCGTTGACGTAAATAAACATCTTTGATAGTTTTGCATGGAGACATTGGTTCGTATTTTGCGAGTGCTCTAGGGCTTACAGCATTCTGGCCCCCAAGGGTGTGCCTGAATAGCAAGGAGCTGGTCCTCACTAGTGTAAAACTGCTAGCCTCTCCAGGTGTAACCTGCTTACTTGTACATGAGAGTGTCTTAGCGCCCCAGCTGCAGTGTACGTCTCTGCAGGGTAGAAGAGACTGTCTTACCTCTGCTTTGTATGTCCCGCAGCCATGCCTGGCCAAATCCATGTGCTCAGCAGGTATTATTGAAGGAGCCAGTGATTACCTGACAAAGTAGGCAGCTTTCTGACTTTCAAGAATGTTGTTATTTATTAAGAGCTTTTGGGTTTAATGGCCAGGATAGAAAATCTCCAAAGGAAAGAGAGAAAAGGTTTTCAGTGCCTATTTAGCAAGACCCTTTGAGAACAGTTGTAAAGAATCGAGCCGGTTCCAGAAGAGCCCAGGGGGAGGACAGGGTGCTTCTCCAGGCAGTTTGGAGACATTCACGGCAGGCTAGTAGCATGGGCGCTTCACCAGCCAAAGAGCTCAGACCAGCAGGTCTGAAATCCAGCCTCACTCTTGGGCCAGCCTAGGAGGCTATCACCTAGGCCAAGTGTCAAGAGGGACTCTGAGGAGCACGTACTAAGGCAGGAATGATCCTTTTATTATTATCATTATTTAGCTTTTCTGTCATAAATTACACACACCTATTAAAGAGAGACAAGGAGAGACAATAAAAAGGAAAGTGAATGAGAAATCACCCTCTGGGGAAATGGTCATAGTCTAACCCCTTCTTAATTCTCCTCTTGGGATTTTAGACACACACACATACACACATACATGCCCAGCATGTTTTTCAAGCCACTGTGGACATGATTCAAATCCCAGTTGGCCAAGTGGGATCTGTCTTCCTAAACATAGAACTTTATTGTTGCTTTATGGAAAGATCATTTTAGGGTGTGTGTGTGTGTGTGTGTATGTGTGAGAGAGAGAGAGAGAGATAGACACTATTAGTTTGAAATAGTTTTACATTGTTTTAAGGTGAAGTTTTTAAATTGTTGTGAGTCCTACTACTGAGGGGTTTATTCCTTGCCTCTTCTAGTAATATCTGCTTCTTCAGACACGACAGTGAAAGTATGGAACGCACATAAGGGATTTTGCATGTCAACATTGAGGACACATAAGGTAAAGAAACAGTTTTCAGTAACTTTCGTGGAGTATTAGGATCTCAGTACCGTGTGGGCCATTGTCTTACTGACCTGTGAAGTGCATCACGGCATCTCTGTTCTGTTTCAGGATTACGTAAAGGCCTTAGCATACGCCAAGGATAAAGAATTGGTAGCATCGGCTGGGTTGGACAGACAAATATTCCTCTGGGATGTGAATACTCTAACAGCCTTGACTGCCTCAAATAACACTGTCACAAGTAAGGCGTTTGAAAAAACTTTCTTTGAAAGTGGTCCTCGTTGACGTAAATAAACATCTTTGATAGTTTTGCATGGAGACATTGGTTCGTATTTTGCGAGTGCTCTAGGGCTTACAGCATTCTGGCCCCCAAGGGTGTGCCTGAATAGCAAGGAGCTGGTCCTCACTAGTGTAAAACTGCTAGCCTCTCCAGGTGTAACCTGCTTACTTGTACATGAGAGTGTCTTAGCGCCCCAGCTGCAGTGTACGTCTCTGCAGGGTAGAAGAGACTGTCTTACCTCTGCTTTGTATGTCCCGCAGCCATGCCTGGCCAAATCCATGTGCTCAGCAGGTATTATTGAAGGAGCCAGTGATTACCTGACAAAGTAGGCAGCTTTCTGACTTTCAAGAATGTTGTTATTTATTAAGAGCTTTTGGGTTTAATGGCCAGGATAGAAAATCTCCAAAGGAAAGAGAGAAAAGGTTTTCAGTGCCTATTTAGCAAGACCCTTTGAGAACAGTTGTAAAGAATCGAGCCGGTTCCAGAAGAGCCCAGGGGGAGGACAGGGTGCTTCTCCAGGCAGTTTGGAGACATTCACGGCAGGCTAGTAGCATGGGCGCTTCACCAGCCAAAGAGCTCAGACCAGCAGGTCTGAAATCCAGCCTCACTCTTGGGCCAGCCTAGGAGGCTATCACCTAGGCCAAGTGTCAAGAGGGACTCTGAGGAGCACGTACTAAGTCAGGCCTGGAAGGTCTGTGTTTAAGACATGACCCTAAACTATGCAGGTCCCCTCCATCTCAGGTGAAATTTGTCTGGCCGTATGGAATGCTCACATTGACAGAACTAAAGCAGATCTGATACACGCCAAGAAGGGCAGGTTGGGAGACAGGTGTTTAAGATTCCTAAATGTCATTTTGCATCGTTTGCCAGCAAATATGTGAAAGTCTATAAGCATATGCTCTCCTAGTTTTTCCTGATTTCTCACCTGAACACTTCCTTGGCGATTCAGCAGCTGCCTCTGTTGGGGCCCGTCATGATATGCCATTAGGCTCTTACTTTCTAGACGGAATGTCTGCCTCAGAGAGACACTAACAGGAGGAAACAAAGCAAAAAAGACAGGATTTTCACAAGGTCAGAGACCAGACTTAGTGATTACAGATTTTGCTATAGGTATGTCTATCTTAGAATTGTCTAGAGAGGGGGGACCAGCAGGTGGCGATGGTTCAAGTCCTGGACCTGGTGGCTTGCTTTCTCACTTTTTCTTTCTCTCTGGTCAAAATAAAATAAGTAAATGAATAAATAAAATTTAAAAATAAATAATTCTTTTAAAAAAAAAGAATTGTCTAGAGAGGATATCATATATATAGGTTTTTTCAAAAGAATAATTTATTTAATTTTTAAAAAATTTTTTTTTAATTTGTTAAGGGACCTATATGCTCACCAGAGAGAGACAGAGAGAGAGAGAAAGGGAATATGGGAAAGCAAGCCACCAGGTCTGGCACTTGAACTGCGGTCGGCCACGTGGGATTCTGGTGCCTTTCCCCACTACACCACCTGCTGGGTTCCCACACACGTTTGTTTGTTTTTCTTGAATGGTTACAAAAATAATACTAGTAATAGCTAATGTTTGTTGAGGCAGGCGTTGTTCTAAACACTTTATTTACATGTATTAATTCCTTCAGTTATAGCTTCTCGATATGCTTGATTACATTATTGTAAAGTTAGAATTATACTATATACTATAGACAGTTTTTGGTTTTTTTGAGAGGTTTTCGCCATAGGGCGCGTGCACTCGCCAGACAGACAGAGACAGAGAGACAGCGAGAAAGCACCCCCCGGGGGGTTGGTCACGCCACAACCCCTTCTCCTCCATTCTCCTCTCGGGATCTTGGGCATGCACGCACATGTGTCCGGCGTGAGTTTTAAGCCACTGGGTCCAGGACGCGAACCGTGGTTGACTACGTGGGAGTCCAGCGACATAGCCATTACGCTAACTGCTGGTTCCCTATAGACAGTTTTATATGCAACTTTTTCCTCTTCACTGGTACTGAGTTCTGAATCAAACTGCATGACTGTAATTCTTTTTACCCGTTGTCTGGTCTCCATCCAGAGAGGGGTTGTACCAGTTTAATTTAATACTTAATATAATAATTAAGAATTAAATAATTCTTGGGACCAGCAGTTAGCGTAATGGCTATGTCACTGGACTCCCACGTAGTCGACCGCGGTTCACTTCCCGGACCCAGTGGCTTAAAACTCACGCCGGACACATGTGCGTGCATGCCCAAGATCCCGAGAGGAGAATGGAGGAGAAGGGATTGTGGTGTGGCCATCTCCCCTGGGGGATGATTTCTCACTTTCTGTCTCTCTGTCTCTCTCTGTCTGTCTGGTGAGTGCACGCGCCCTATAGCAAAAAACTCTCCAAAAAACAAAAACAAACAAAAACAAACAAAAAGAATTAAATAATTCTTAATTATTACCTTGTACTTTGTCTGACCTGGTGCGTGAAAAATAACAAGATGGTACAATTTTTCATACTTATTGCCACACGTATATCTTTGAAAAATCATTACTTATGTGGATGATTTTTAAATGGCAATTCAATGAAATGCAATTCAATTTAGCAAACATTGAGCATGCAAATCCAGAAAAGATATAAATATTGAAAATGACACTACTGTTTTGAATGATCACCAATTATAGATTTCTTCTCTTTAGAGTTTACATGAAAATAAGATTTTTTTAATTGAATATACTTGGCCATTTTTGCTGACTAGTAACTAAACAACTGATCATTTTGTTAACATTTAGCTCTATTTATCCTCCACAGCTTCTTCTCTAAGTGGGAACAAAGATTCTATTTACAGCCTGGCCATGAATCAACTGGGAACAGTCATTGTATCGGGGTCCACTGAGAAGGTAAGGAGGAGCTTTAAAAGAGAAGTGAACGGAAGAAAACAGATACCTTGTTCTGTGTCCTTAGTAAGTAAGAGGCGGCGCTTCTGCCCGGTGGATACTGGCCGAAGGGTTCTGTTTGAAGTGCTGGGCGTAACTGTACAGCTCCTGCGTGTGGTGGTGGAGGTGGGGAAGAGGACTGTGCTCTCTGACACGACAAGGACCGCCTCCCCAGGTCCGGGCATCCTAGGGCCCATGGGCAGAAGCAGCATTTGTTTCTCAGAATTTAACGGTTGTCACTTGATGTATAAAAGTCGTCTGTTATTTAAATGTGCCCATGTGTATGTTCAGTTTGTATAATAATCTGTTCGTTTTCACAGGTTTTAAGGGTATGGGATCCAAGAACATGCGCAAAACTGATGAAGCTGAAGGGGCACACAGATAACGTGAAAGCGTTGCTGCTGAACAGAGACGGCACCCAGGTACGCCGTGCCCTGTGCACGCTCCCCGGGCCCTGTCAGTGCCTTCCGCTCTGTGCTACCGCGGCGTCGATTTGAAGCAGAGTCCACACAGGCTGTAAAACTGGTCTCATTTTCAGTCTTTAAAATCCTGGATTGGCTCTGTGGTCCTACGTAAAGCACTGCTTGAAAGAAGCTGCATCTCATGTGGTGACTGAGCCACAGCTCCAGCCCAGCCAGCCTGAAGCCGGGCACATGCGCAAGTGCCCAAGGTCTGACAGGCTGGAGAACGGGAGGAAGGAGATGACGGTGTGACCAAACCCTGGAGGGTGGTTCTCTTCCTCACTTGCGCACACATGCTTTCTATCATGAATAAAGAAACACATCTTTAAAATACCAAATCATACATATAATAATGTACATTGAAAACTGTTCTGTTTGCATCACTTTTTATTTTTAGAGAGAAATTTTTTGCTATAGGGTACGTGTGCGTGGTGGAGACACAGAGAGGGAGAAAGTGAGAAATCACTTTCCCGGGCCGGGGGATGGCCATGCTGCAGTCCCCTCTCCATTCTCCTCTCGGTGTTTTGGGCATGCATGCACACATGCCCAGCACGAGCTTCAGTCCACCAGGTCCAGGACTCGAACTGCAGTCTACCATGTGGGAGTCCAGCACCCCAACCACTACACCTGTTGGCCCCTGTTTGCATCACTTTTAAATAAAATAAACAAATTTTCTTACAGTAATTCTAATATAGGTGAGTATGTGCAGTTGTGGTGCAGAGAGACTAACTAAAAATGTTGCCTGTGTAAAACATAAGGAATCTTTTGTATTGCTTGGAGTGTTCATTGCCAGAGGACCTGTGTACTTGCCAGAGAGAGTGCTTGCACACCCACAGTGGGGTATAGTCATGCTGCAAACCCTTTTCCTCCATTTCTCCTCCCCATCAGGATTTTGGGCGTGTACACTTGTGCCCACTGTTTTTCTCAAGCCGCCGGGTGGGAGTTTGAACCCACAGTCAGTCATATGGTGCCTGGTTCCCAGTGCATAATATTTAACCACTGTTCCACAGGGCCAGGCTGGTACTGACTGCTTTTTGCCAGTGTATTAAGTTGCAGGCTTCCACACGGCTGGTTTAACTTTGGGCATATGTTGTCATCTGACAAGGGAGGTGCAGTGTGTAAGTTTAGTTTTCTAACATAACATTGAGAGTCAGCTTTTCGGAGAATGATATTTTGGAAATGTTTGAGCATCAGCTCTTCTGGCTCCGTACTCAGTGAATTAATAATCCCAGTTGTTTGCTGTGTAGCCATGGGAGGTATTGGGGCATTGACCCAGTGGTTTGTTTTTCTGCTAATGTAGATAATAACAAACAAATTGAGCACCATTTTATGCTATGCTATGCCTCGACCACAAGCCCCTGACTCTCCTTGCTATTTTTTTTTTTTCTGAGGGCAGGAATAAGTTTAGAGATAATTGGAACAGATTGGAAAGGGGTTGAAAGGGGTGAGTAGGAGGACAGTGTGATGACACTAACACTCCTAATCCATTTTTCCTTTGGAAATTACCACATGGAAATTGCCTTACACGTGAATCAGAAAAATCTTTATGGGACCAGCAGATGGCGTAATGGTTACATCACTGGACTCCCACGTAGTCAGCCGTGGTTCGAGTCTTGGACCTGGTGGCCTAAAACTCATTCCAGGTGCATGAGCTTTCGTGCGTAACCAAAATCCCCATAGGAGAATGGAGGAGAAGGGATTGTGGGCGTGGCCGTCTGCTCTGTTGGGTGATTTCTCGCTTTCTGTCTCTGTCTCTCTGGTGAGCGCTTGTACCCTGTAGCAAAAATCTCTCCAAAAAGAAGAGAAATCTTTGTTTCCAGAGGTGAAAGGGAGCTTTGAGGAACTAGCCAAAAGAAGGAAATCATTTTTCAGAGTCAGCAGAGGAGAGGGTTGAACATACCTGTGGAGCCTGGGCGATGTGGAAGGATTTCGGTGTTAGTACTGCGTGGCCTTGAGGAGAGGACTTCACTGTAGTAGTCTTTAATTTGCTCATCTGCAAAATCGAAAATGTGGTATGTGGTTTATGTAGTTGGTGAGAGTGTTTTTTGCCTGTATGCCCCATGGCATTTTCTAGAACTCTTGAGTTCCTTTACAGCCTCATTTTCATGTGAGTCAAAGAAGCTCCATGCTTCAATTTTTTCACGTTTTTTCACGTTTTTATGGTGTTTACCTTCAAGGCTGTGCTTGACACGGTTGCCCATGCCCGTTCAGCTAGTCAGCCCAGCACTGGACTGGATCCTTGGTGTTCACGGTTTCTGAAATCGGGCTGGGGACCCGGCAGACCTTCCGTTACTACACTCCGTGCCTTGTTTTCTAGCCATTCAGTTTTGAATGTGCTTCTATATAAGGTAACTTACATAGTACACGCGCAAACGGACCTCCTGCGAGGCCAGCCATGTTGCCTGTAATAGCTGAAGCTTGCCATGGCTCTGCTTTAGAAGCTGCCTATCGGGCTTTGAGTGCATCATTGATCAGCGTCATTCATCTGTGTCCTCTTCCACCCTTTTTCCGTATTGGCAGCTATAGGCCAAATGCAGTAACCACCACCAACCCAGGGTATTTGTATTAATAAGTTAGCAGAGCAACAGTAACTACTTGTTTAGGGCAGAGAGAGGTGGGGAAAAGAAATCTTTATTTCCTGTCTTCATGAACTCTTGTGATATGAGGGAGAGGTGTCAGTCACTGGGCCAGAATCTGTATCTCATCCTGCGGAATTTCCCCCTTGGCTCTCTGGGGGCTTGGGGGCTTTGTACGTCAGGGACTTGGTGGTGAGACATATACTGAGTTGTCAGAAAAGTCATGACATATCCGTCTTGTTTTTCTCTGCAAAATGCATCATGACTTTTCCAACAACCCAACGTAGATATATAGGCCAATGAACCGCATGAACATCCGCCTGTTGCCTCCTTTGTCAGGGAATGAGATTCGACCTACTAGATCTCCAGGTTCTGTGCAGAGGAGCTGAGCCCGTGCAGAGGCTTGTCAGTAGCAGGTGCTGCATGGTGCCACTGTCCCTGGGGAGCGCCACACGCCTTCTCATTCCTTAGATTCTCAGGTGGCGGCTTGAAGAGCTGACACCTGCCATGTCAGTCCACGTCAGTCATATCCGGTGTGTCACTTGCAGGGTTTTCTGGTGATACCAGTTGTGCTGAACCTGGGGCCTGGGGATCTCAGGGCGCCGGGCCACTCCTTGTCCCCATTCACCGGGCCTGCGTAGCTGCTCTCTCTTGGCAGGCGAGGTCATGTGTGAGGGACCATCTCAGCAGTGTACCTGTTGGTCAGAGCAGCCTGGCCCTAATACACTGGGACTTTCTGTTCCCATTGGCAGAAACAATGCCTGATCAGGGCCACAGAATCTGCTACACCACGTCTGACTTAGAACTCTTTGGGACATTCTGTCCTGGTCCCAAGAGTCACCTCAAATGGACTTCTTCATGTTTATCCAGTGGAAGGATGAAGGCAATGGAAATTTATTTTTTTAATTTGCCAGAGGTCACGTTTGCTCACTAAAGAGCGATGGGGGGGGTGTGGTGCTGAGAAAGCACTCCCCGTGAGGAGTGGCCACACGGCAGTCCCTTCTCTCTCCCTCTTGTTGGGGTTTGAGGCATGCACGCACACAGGCCTGGCATGTGTTTTGAGCAGCTGGCTCCAGCATCTATGCCACCTGTTGGCTATGTGGATCCAACTTCCATAACCATCAGTCCACACACTGGTCCTTGGGAAATGCTTTGATGGTTTTGCCTGCTATGAGATATCAAGCCCTGGAGTTCCTGTAAAAGAGGACAATCTTGGGACCAGCAGATGGCGTAATGGTTACATCGCTGGACTCCCACGTAGTTGGCTGTGGTTCGAGTCCTGCACCTGGCAGCTTAAAAAAAATCACGCCTAGTGCACGTGTGTGTGCCCAAAATCATGATAGGAGAAAGGATTGCCATGTGGCCATTCTCCCAGGGGATGATTTCTTGCTTTCTGTCTCTCTGACTCTCCGGTGAGTACCTGTGCCCTATAGCAAAAGTCTCTCTTTAAAAAAAAAATAAGAGGACATTCTTGAACCATCCTACCAAATGCTGTAAAGAAATTGGCTAACCGTGCTTTAAAAGTGACGGCTGTCTGTCTGGGGGCCTGCCGTTTTGTAGTCTTGGACTACTGATTACTGCAGAGACTCTTACGTGCTCCCCTAGGGTTGAAACAGCTGTTTCCAGCTGTGCACTCTGAGTCTGGAACGTGCCCATTCCTGTGCAAGTCGCCAGGCTGTGAAGACTTGCAGTCCATCTGTCGTTATTGCCTGCCTTATTCTCTTTAAGCTGTCAGACTTTGACATTCTATAAATGCACGGTCTAGGATCTGAGTTTGTAAGGCTCACAGCAGCAGCTCTTCCTGGACCAGGGAGCCCCTCCTGGCCCCTGCCTCATCAGCTTGCTCCAGTTCGCCCACACGTGTGTGGAAGGTGGGCTTGTAGCCTTTCCCCTGACGGTTTCCTTTTTGGCTAGTCTCTTGGTTCCCTTGGGAATTAGTTGGATTGATGCTTTTGGCAGGTTGTGGAAGGGCCTCCTAATACGTATGTGTTCACTTAATCAAATGTGCTCCGATTTCTACACGCCCTTGAGAATCACGGGGCAGGCAGTAAATCCTTAATGTTCCTGAATGCCTCATCTTTTCAGGCACCTTCCAAATCTCCAGCCCTGTAACTCTCGTCTCTTCTTTGAAGCTCTTTGCTAACTTAATTTCCAGTGCCCTGCTTTCTCCTCGGTGCCGTTCTTTTTCCCAAGTGAATCTCTTGTCCTCTTCTGCAAGTTACCACGGTAACTGGTTGAGAACGCTGAGCATGCCGAGTGTGTGGCTGTGGGGTGGCTGAGTCAGCCTGTTTCTGTTAGACTCCGTGAGCTCGGCCCTTCTGTGTGCGCCAGCGGCTTCCAGGTAGCTGACTCTCCGAGCCTTCAGAAGTCATCGGGATTGCTCATGTTAACTCATTTGAGGCTCCCGTGAGATGTGGCCAAGGTCAGAGACTGAGCAGTAAGCCTGGGACTTTCCTCTGACTCTTGTCAGTAGAATCCAAGAGCCCTGGCAGGTCATTGGGAATTCAGAGCCATGAGAGAGGGGACGAGGCAGTTCTGACCCAGACCTCCAAAAGGCTTCCTGGCTTCGTGCAGTGCCTGCCAAACCTAGCATACCTCGGAATTGCCCGAAGAGCCTCTGAGGGCACTGATTGCTGGACTGCCCCGAAGCGTCCATGTCCTGAGATCTGGATGGGACCTGAGAATTTACATTTTAAAAACCTTTCGAGGAGGGACCAACAGTTAGCGTAGTGGCTATGCTGCTGAACTCCCATGTAGCCGACCACGGTTCGAGTCCCAGACCCAGTGGCTTAAACTCAGGCCGGGCACGTGTGCGTGATCCTGAGAGGAGAATGGAGGAGAAGGGATTGCGGCATGGCCATCCCCCCAGGGGATGATTTCTCGCTTTCTATCTCTCTGTCTCTGTCTCTCTGGTGAGCACACATGCCCTATAGCAAAAACCTCTCCAAAAAAAAAAATCCTTCTGAGGAGACACTGCTTCTGAGACTGCACTGTGAGAACCACAGGCCTAGTGCAGAGTGCCTTAGCCCTAGCTGCATTCAGACTCCCTCTCCATCAGCAGTGGATGATATGAGCAGGACCTGCCTGCAGAGTCACCGGTCAGCAGCAGGTGGCCAGGCAGGGCAGCCAAGGCATTGTGCCGAGAGGTTCCAGCTGCTTAAGCTACACTGCTGCCTTTGATCACTTTAGCCTGTAGTTCATGGTGCGTGCTTGTTGGTGGCAGACGGAGAAGCTGGTAGAAGCATGTGTTGACAGTGAAGGGCCAGAGGAGAGGCAGGCACGTCCCGGCTGGTTTCTAACTTCACCTTCCTCTGTTTGCAGTGTCTTTCTGGCAGCTCTGATGGCACGATCCGCCTCTGGTCCCTTGGCCAGCAGAGGTGTATAGCCACGTACCGAGTCCATGACGAAGGCGTTTGGGCCCTGCAAGTCAGTGACGCCTTCACACACGTGTACTCCGGAGGAAGGGACCGGAAGATTTATTGTACTGACTTAAGAAACCCTGACATTCGAGTGCTAATTTGTGAAGAAAAAGCACCAGTTCTCAAAGTATGTCATGTATTTAAGTTTTATCATGATATGTGCTGACCACATACAACAGAATTGGGGGGGGGTTGTAAGAAGGATATTTCATCATGGGTAGAA